AGCCTCACAAAAGCTTGAAGTGTATTAAAGCTCTGCCAAAATTAACCTTTGGTATCGATCTACTGCTGAAGCTTAGCAGCAGAAGTTGTTAACAGTCCAGTCTAGCCCAGATATTTCCAGACCAGCCTGGATCAGAACCCTCTATACAGGCAGAAATGGAGTTCCAACTGTCCTTTCTTCTTTCTAGCTTGGATATTTATGTTTATAGTTTTGTAAAAGGCAGTTCTGCCTAAGACAGCTTAAATTCCATCAACCATTCTGGCCAGAACAACCTCTTTATACTGAGATAAATTGTTATAGTCCTCACCAGTCTGAGACAAGAAAAGAACTTACTTGGGAGATATTCCTCACCCAAATTCACAATCGCTTGTTTATGGAAATAAGTAACTTGGGGCGCAAGTTATTTATTCTAGAATAAGTCTGCTAGAATCTTCATTGCTAACAGTGGCACGCTCATACACCAAAGAAAGCTGACTTGCTGACCAACCAATGGTTCACAAGGCAGTGGGGAACTTTGCCCTTCCACCACAGGAGTGATCACAAAACAGGTGAACAACGTGAAAGTGTTTTACCAAAAAGAAAGGAAAAATATTTTCCATAAAAAAAAAAGGAGACATTTTGGAAAAGGCCAAAGGAGAAAGAAATATTTTTAAAATAAGCCAAAATGGACAAAAATGCCCTTATTTATTTTTGGATTTCCTAAAAAAATTCTTTACATTTGTATGTTTTGGGTTTGAAAATTGAGGGATTTTTCTGTCTTTTTCGGATAAGTTTTGACTTCTTCTAAAAGTGAAAGTTTTTTTTTTTTAAAAAAAAAATTTATGGCTAAAACCTAAATTTACTATAAAAAAAAGTAAAAGGAAATTATTTAAAGCAAATAATATAAGAGAGAGAGAGAGAGAGAGAGAGAGAGAGAGAGAGAACCACCAATTTGGAAACTTTATGCAAACAATAAATTTCAAAGATACTTTACACTTAAAGCTTATTTTGATGAAGCGATTTCAACTCTAGAAGATAATATAAAGTTAAATTGTTTGTTCAGACTACTAAATTGTATAGTTGCTTTAATACTTGTAAAAAAATAAAATAAAAAGCGTATTGGAGTTATAATTGGAGTCCCACACAATTTTAGTAGGGAGCTTCACAAAGAAAAAACCCCAAAACAGTTTTTTATTTATTTATTTTATTTATTTTTAAATGTTTCACCTTTTAAGCTCTCTACTTTTTAATGATTAATAATACATTTTTTTTATAACTTGAATTTACTGATGAAACAATGAAAGAAAAAAAACTCTAATCATTTCATTAATAAGAAGGAATCAATAGAACAATCAATGATGAAACATTGTTGTACTGTACACTGTGGTGGTGCCAAAACAATTTCCATAGAAAACAGGGTCAAAATACACGGAGGAAGAAACGAGGGAATCCCCAAAAAAGAGCTGAGTACGTCCAATGACCATAAAGGTCAAGAAGAAAAACGTGAAATACACTGTCAAAGTGAAATGACCAAGACCCACAAAGTGAAATGAAATTTCAAGGCAAAAGTGATCTTTTTATTGCTTTCTGATGACCTTTGGTTTTATTCTTCTAGAGAGGAAGACATTTAAATGACATCTTGAAGCATGCCGCTTTAATTGTTTCCCCGATATAAAGACAGCTTCCTTCTCTTTTTCCAGAAATGATAATTCACTAATTTTATTTTATTTTATTTTTCATATAAGCTGTTCTTATTTTAAGGAAAGCTTCAGTTGTTTGGGGGATGTGTCATTTTTCTTTACCTTTTTCTTTCCTACCAAAGTGACTAGCTTTGGTCTGGTCCATGTTTGTTTGCATAGGAAAGTTCAAATAAAAGACAGAGGAGAGAGCGCTGTAGAGGTGGAAAACCGCGTCACCCCACTATAGAAAGGAAATAATGAGAAAGGATTAATATTTTCCACAACACCCCACTGAAACTTCCTTGCTGGGACGCCTTTTCTTTCTTCTCACAAAATGATTGTGTCCTCTTTTTTTATATTTTTTTTCCCTTTCTTAAGCTTACTGATGCCGAGGGAATTGAACACATAACCTAGTTAATGGCTCGAGTAATAGTAATTGGGCTCTTAGTTCAGTTTTGATATTAGAATATTTAACAAACCCAATTGTGCAGTTGCGTTAATACTTATATTAGGACTCCCACACTAGTATATATATATATATATATTACATTGGAGGAAAGAACTTCACTGGTTCGATCCAGAATATCATGGTGGAGGGGGAGTCCATCACCACTGGGTTTGGAGTTCTTATTTGTTTTGTTGGTTTGGAAGTTTGTTGTTTTGTTTTGTCCCTGATTTGTAGTTGTCTTCTTGCTGCTTATGTTACAAAAGGCCTCGATGTTATTGGGAGTGGAACCATTTATTATATGGGACTTTCTATTTTGTTAAGTTTCCGATGTGGGACTCGTGTATTCTTCAACACTCCTCTGGGGTTGAAGAGAAATGTACAAGGAAAATCAAAATAATAATTTACAGGATCAGAGTTCTGGCATGTTGGCTTCACCTCTGGGGTTCATGAACTGGATGACAACATCATCCGTAAATATGTTAACTTCCTTGATTGCAGGAATAGCGTTCACCCCCTATTCTCTTAATGGTGCTCTGAAGCCTTTTGTCATCTGTGGTAGTTGTCTTGTGAACACTCTTCTCCTTTCTGAAGTTGGGAACAGAAATTAATAAACAAAATCACGTACAAACAAGATGAAGATCACACAACAACATGTGCTAATTACAAACAATTGCAGGAATGTGCAAAACTTATGACTGAAAACTAGTCATAAAATGACTTCAAGGGCAGTCTAAGTCCAAATGACCATTCCCCGACAATGCTGTGTACATCAGAAATAGCATATTATTCTCCGCAGAAGAGAGCACGAGATGGCTTATTTGAGGTAAACTCCAACAATTCTCAGTTTTAACTACTTGAATTTCACCCACCTCCTCATGCTACCCTTTCCACCAGTGTGAACTGCACCGCCCATCTTCATAAGTTTCTCCCAATTCATCTGCATAAAAAGTGGGTATTGTAAGATGAAGGGACGAGTTTCAATTGAAATATATATTAAACAATTCAAGGGCCAAAACACTGCATCTCAAGTTACATTATTGTTATTCTGTGTATTAACGAATAAAACCTACAACATGACCCAGAAATTTGTTTTACGTCTCAATATTTTTATTTTATTTTTTTCAAAACCAATTTTACAATATCTCAAATAAAGAACTAATCATGTCTATTTTCTGCTATCTTGTTTCTTCAATCTCATACTATGCTTGATTTATATCTTCCATTGAGAATTAGAGTAGCAAATAAATCTTATTTCTAAACTGTATGCCTAAAACATATACAATTTTATTCTTGTATTGGCCATTAGCCTAGCTATTCTCATTGTTAACCTTCACACTGATAGTCAGCTGAACCAAGAGCATACAGCAAAGCACGGAGCTAACCTCACAATAACAAGACCCCAACATTACTCTAGAAAATCTAAGGAAAATGACTGATTCTATCAGGCCTACACTTGTCCATATCTCCATATTCCTTGGAACCTTAGCTCCAGAGAGATCTACAGAAAGCAGTATTCCTCTCTCACACTCTTATTCTTTCATCCTTTCTCCAAGATTTTCACACACATTCTTTCGTCATTATTAATCATTTTCCCCTTTTTCCTTTGGTCGGAAGACTCAGAACTATACTAACAATTTCCATGCATTATTTCAATATAGCAACAGTTTGATAGCACCGCATTGAAAGGTTGCTCTGAAAATGTTCTTTTACTCCAAGTCTATAGGAAGTAAATATTCTAACACATTGAAATTAACAAGTTAATCCAAGTCATATCCACTCAGAAAATATCTTGAACGCAGGAAAAGGACAAACAATTTAGGGAAAATGAAGTCCTGGAAGCAGAGTGCAAGTTTGTTTTGTAAATCTATAGCATATATACTTTAGGATTTGTTCTACTGTTTTCTGTGTGTACAAGTAGCTATATGAAGTGCATTTTCAGACAAAACCATTTCAAAAGATTATATTCTAAGAGCAATTTTTGTGCAACTTCATTGTTATGGAACCCATAGTTAAAGTAAATCTCAAATTTGGGGATAACCTGACCAACAAACTGTATACAATATGCGGACTTGAGCCTACAGCAGAAACCATCTAAGCACAACAAGACACTCCTCAGTTACCAAACATGTTGATTTACAGTGTGCATTTTCATGGCATACAGAAGCTTACTTGTCTGTTTTCAGTACATCCGGAGTTATCTGTTTATAGAATAGCACTACGTGACTAGGTTCATTTTATTCTGAAAACAATAAAATCTGACAGAGCAGTTTAAATAGAGGAACAGAAAATTACAGCACATCCTGCAAACTATACAAACAAGATGTAACAAGAGAATTACTCTCTCTCCTCCTACCTAATATAAGAACTATGAACAGAGATAGAATGACGCAGTCAAATTTAGAACTTTGAGAATGCCACCAATTGCTTGTTTTTCCTCATAATTAATTGAACAACTTATTTACGAACAACTTAAGAAGATTCACAACCCAAAAATATCATAGTATATCCTGCATTTATGTATTTGTAAATGGAAAAGTTTTTTTTGGACAAGTTCATAACCAAAATGTAATAAGAGAACAGCTCTCCTCCTACCTCATTGAATGATTGAACCAAGCACAAAATAATTTAGACTTTCTTGAATCTTTTGCTGATTGGTTCATCAACATCAACTCAAAAAAAACAGAGCCTGATCAATTCAACTAAAAAAAAAACAGAGCCTAATTTAACTGAAAGAGATCTCAGTTCGATTTCTATGGAGAAAATGAACGATAGAGACAGAGACAGAGAGCGCGAATGAGAGAGCGCTGAGTTCCGGGGAAACGAGTAAGAGGGTGGGGATAAGAAGGTATTTATACGCGTTAGTTGGACCAAAGTAGACTCTCCAGACTGGCCCTCTAGTTTTCCTCATCAGAGCTACCACTTCCACTATTAATTGCGCCTGCCTCGTCATCGTATCCATATACTGCTGGCATCGGGATTTTCAGTATTCGGCTGAATTCTTCCAAATCTCTCTTGTACACCAAACGGGCTCCACATTTCTTTATAATCGAGCTTGTTTTCAGTTCTTTTTTCGCAGATTCGATTGGCCAATAATGCCCTTCAAATGATAACTGATGACTGCTTGAGGCATCCCTGAGATAGGGATCATTGCGAGGCAAATAGAAAACCAAAAGGTGTTGTGACCTAAAAGTATTCCCGACTACAAAAGTATCATCATACGGTTTCCATGAAAAGCGAATTTCGAAATAATTGTAGTGTTTCAAATGGGCAGAATCTTCAAAAACAACACATAAAGCAATCCCAACCCAGTCACTACATGTTTGTGGTGGTAGGGGCGGCTCCATAATTATTGAATCTCCCACACTTTGATTATCGAACCAATCTGGAATTTCACTTCCAGGGCATACAATACGATCATCAGGATACCTTACCTGTACCAAAAGAATTACAATTATATTTACTTACTATAGAGAAAGAAAACCACGAATATATATTCATTCAGCGAGAGAGAGAGAGTGTGTGTGTACCTCCTTAGCGGCCAATCTCATTACCATTGCAAATATTCTATTAATCCAGCCTTCTTCTTCAACCAATCTGAAGCAATTAAGACAACTAAACCTAAAATCATACACATTGGCTCCTTTGCTCAACTTCGATGGATCTGACAACCTTTTTAAGGAAGTACAGTCGTCCACATTTACATGTAATGAGGAAAATCTATTTGGCGGAAGATCTGGCAATTGCTCAAGCCTTTTGCACCCCTGCAATTGAAGAAACAGAAGCTCAGAAAGTAATCTAATGCTTGAGGGGAGGCTAACGAAATTGTTTCCACTAAGATCCAACGCTTTTAAAGAAGACAAGCAGCCAATATCATCTGGAATGGCTCCTTCACCAATATTACAATCACTCAGATCTAAATCCGTCAAGGACCCTAAACGATTTAGAGAAGACAACACCAAACCCCAACGCTCAGGGTCAGGATTCTTTCTAATTCCAAATATGCGGTCAATGCCCCACCCAATGCCATCCCTTGAAGCAACTGATCCCTTAAGGGATAGAATTTTGAGATTTTTCATAGCAACAAGCGGCTCTCTCATAGCACTTCGACGTAAATTAAGCTCCTCTAAACACCCCATCTCCCCTGGGAGTTTGTCAACTTTCGAGCATCCAGGCATATTCAGACTTGTAAGAGATTTCAATTTACATATCGCACTAGGGAGACCCAAGAGACTTTTGCATTTACTTATAGATAGATAATGAAGGCCAACCAGATGTTCAATTGATGAAGGTATTTGCTCAATACCACTCTCACTTATAAAAATCATTTTCAAGTTCTGCATATGTTCCCCAAATTCTGGAATCTTTTTCACTTTTGAACAGCCCCGAACACAGAAGTATTCAAGAGAATCCATTTCCAACTCACTTGGGAGACTCTTAATACTTTCACATTCAGAAAAACTTAAAAACTTTAGCTTTTTGTGAATTGCAATAGACGGGTGAACCTCGCCTAATTTCTTACAACCGTACAGATTCAATTCCTCGAGATTTGGAATGCGTGTGAAATCTGGGATACTGGTCAATTTATCAGAGTCACTAAGATCCATATATTTCAAATTCGGAAAATCCTGCCAATGCATAAAAGTTGTAGAATTATAAGTTTCAAAAAACCTTGCAAGTTAAAACAAGGTACAATACAACCGTACTCAATATAATTATAATTAAAAAAAATTACAAAATGCCGTATTTCAAGATTCTTACCTTTGCTCCATCCCAAAGCCGGACAAGTTTGCTATTCCTCATATCTAGTTTAGAAAGTAAATGTGGTTCAAAACTTGATGGGAGCGATTTGGAAGGATACGAACTCCAACGGATAATTCTTAAGGAATTTGGAAGAAATTTAGGGCCTGAAGAAAACATCACATTATCAAAGTGAAGGAGCCTTAACCCGTGCATCTCATTGAAGACTTCAGTACAATTCCAAGGCACTGCTTCTAATTTGGGCAGACATAGGACTATGGCTTCAATTGCTCCCGTTCCCTAATATATATAATTAAGAAAAAGGAAAAAGTTAATTCATCTCATCTCATGAAAGTCTAGTATCTCTAAATAACTTCTTACCGTATTGTACATGAATACATGAGAAATGTCTCTGTGATGCCACAAAAGACTGCGTTTACCAGGCTCGGGAGACTCTTCACGAACAATTTTCCATGCCATTTCTTGTATCAAATCATGCATCTCAACAATGTTGCTACGAAAGTGGCGTTTCTCAATAGTTAAGAGAGATTTCTCAATAAGAATATCTATCTCAATATGACTGGAAATGTCAAGGGTACAGTCTAGTATTTCAATTACTTGCTCTTTATCCCTCCATCTATGGAGACACGCAACATGCAGAAAAATTTTCTTCTCCATATCTTTGAGTCCATTATAGCTTACTTTGAGCGAATCAAAAATATCTGGATCAGGAATTTTGTTTAGATTATACAACGCACTCTTCCACACATCTTGTTCTCTCCCATACAAAGCACGCCCTAAAATTGTAAGAGCTAATGGAAGGCCGTTGGCATAATATAGGAAATGCTGAGACAGTTCTTGAAAACCTTCCTCAGGCTGATCTTTCTTAAAGGCATGTCGACAAAAGAGCTCAAGAGCTTTATCATCCTTTAATACAATGACTTTATACAGTTTCTCTATACCATGCTCAACTAGTAGGCGTTCATTTCTAGTTGTGACGATAATTCTACTCCCCACACCAAACCATTTTTTATTTCCAACCAGTTTTTCTAGTTGGTTTAGTTGATCCACATCATCAAGCACGAGAAGAACCTTCTTATTCCGTAAGTATCTGTCAATGAAAAAGGTTCCCTCCCCTTCATCCCAACATGGGATATAATTTTCCTTTAAGATTGAGGAAAGCAGCTGTCTTCCTAGACCAGAAACCTCTCCCTTTCTCACATTAGGTAGAAAACAGCGATGCTCGAAATGACGGGAAATTTTCTGATAAACTAATTTAGCAAGGGTTGTTTTGCCTATCCCGCCCATCCCCCATATCCCTATAAAGCGGACATCCTTTTCTTCGGGAGCTAAATGCAAGCGTAGTTGATCAAGTGCAAAATCAATTCCGACTAACTTCTCTTCAGAATCTAACAACGTGAATGTAGGATTCACTTTCTTCCACACACGTTTGACAATGTCTTCGATAAGCTCTGCTTCTGACCTACAAAGTATTAAAAATAACCATTAATCCATAAATATAACATCCAAGGTTGTTTGTTGTATTAAAGGAATAATTGAAATGTAACATCCAAGTAGGGCTCTTGTTAAGACACACACAAGTTGTTCATGGACGCATACTTACTTATAAGTTTTTGAATCTAAGCCAGTGAGATTGGCAACTTTTCTTAAAGCGGCTCTCCACCGATTCAGCTTCTCTGCATCTCCACTAAACCTTTCTTCATGCTTAGTGAAAGCTTCCGCAAAACTCCCCCTTTGGTTTCGCACATCGGAAGGATCCACGTCATAAAAGATTGGCAGAATTCTCTTGGTGTCTTCCATGCATTCAAGAATCTTTGAGAGTTCATCCAAGCACCAAGTGGAAGAAGCGTAATTTGGGGACAGAACAATGATGGCAAGATATGATTCTTCGATCGCGGTCAACAGCTCCAGAGAAATAGTTGCTCCTACTTCAAGTTCTCGATCGTCCTTGAAAGTTCTCATTGCTTGCCAGTACGCCAAGGCACGGTCTAAATGAGAGATAAAACCCCTGCGAGTGTCTTCGCCCCTGAAACTCAGAAAAACATCATGCTTCCATCGAGGAGGAGCCCATTCAGCTGAAGTACGAGATGTAGAAGCTCTTTGGGTGCTCAAGGCCATGGGAGAAAACAGTTCCTGGAAATCTGGTTCTGCAAACACTCAGTAAATACGTAAAGAGAAAATGATCTATAAAAAAAAAAAAAGGAGCTTTCTTTTGGTAATTGAAAACGTATTAAGCAGAAGAGAAGAAGGGCAGAAAGCAAATACCCAGCAATGAAAGGGAAACACACCAACTCGAACAATGGCTCAGCAGAACAACAAATCACAAATCCAGAGAATTGGCCAGAAAACAACCACAAGAACCAATCCAACCAAAAACCCACCCAAAAAAACCGAGAGAGGTAGTGAACACGCTTTCTACTTTTTTCTGTGTGTGGTAGAATGCACAAGGTTGCTCTGAAAATTTTCTTTTACTCGCTGCCTGTAGGAAGTAATTATCCCAACACATTGAAACTAACAAGTTAATCCAAGTCATAAGTAATTACCATCCACTCATAAAATATCCCCAACAGAGTAAAAGGACAAATAATTTAGAAAAACAACTAAAGAAGAGGTAAAAATGATCCCCTGGAAGCAGAGCACAAGTTAAAACTAGGGAGTTTCACTAAAACACCCAAAATGGGGGTTGAAATTATAAAAAAACCCAAGCACTATTTAAACATATAAACACATCCAAAACTCATCATTACACACGCTCAAAACCCATTTATAAACACACCCAAAAAGTTGACTTTGGGGTTGATTTTGGGTGTGTTTCTATGTTTAAATAGTGCTTGAGTTTTTTTATAAATACATGTCTAGGATTGGGTTTATTTATGTGCGTTAGTTTTATATGGTTTTAAAAAGTTGTTATTTTACTGATGTTTATTCAATCCGAAGACAAAGCCACCAATTTTCCTTTTTTCTAATTATCATCATAGCACATGTCAAAAAATGAAATTTTCCATGTGGTGGCAAAACAATTTGCACAAAAAAGAGACTGAAAAGACAGGACGAAAAACTAAAGAAGAAGCGAGGAAATCCCCAAGAAAGAGCTTACCCAAGTCAATTTCATATGAAAAAGAGAGAGAGAGAGAGAGAGAGAGAGAGAGAGGGCTCTGTATAAAGCAATTAATGGGAGAGAGGGAGAGAGATGGAATACCGCGTCGTGGTGACCAAATTGGAAACATTGTCAGAGGGTGAATGATTTCTTTTTTGACCCAAGAAAAGTATGGATGTGTACCATACTTTGGTAGGTAGTTACTATCCGTATTATACGCGAATAATAGATTTCGAAAACATTATAAAAGGTTTAATTGGATGAAGGGATTTATAATTCTAGAAATTCAGATGACATTATAAAGTTAAATTGTTTGTTTTGATTATTACAATTCATGTATCCTAATTGTCTAGTTGCGTTAATATTTACATGTGTACAAAAAAAGGCATATTGGAGTCCAACCACACTATCTATAAAACAGTTATTTTTATTATTATTGATGTTTCACCTTTTAAGATCTCTACTTATTAATGATTAATAATACATTTTTTTATAACTATAATTCACTAATTAATTATTAAGAACGATTCCATACAACAAACAAATGATTAATAATGAAACATTGACTGTAAATATAAGTTCCCCAACCAAATTCTCTAATCATCATCATAGCAAACCAAAGTAAACTCTCTAGACTGGCCTTCTACCTACCCTTGTGGTTAAGTGCGCTTGCACTAACTCCTAGTGGTCTTGGGTTCAAAGGTTGGTACACATTCTCTACAAAACCCAAAAAGTAAACTCTCCAGAGAGAAAAAATTATATTTTGTGGTGGTGCCAAAACAATTTCCACTGAAAACAAAGCCAAAATACAGGGCTGGAAATTGAAGAAGAAACGAAGAAATATCCCAAGAAAGAGTGAACACGTCCAATGACCACAAAAGTCAAGGTGTTTATACCATATTTGACCAACAACTATAAACAACTCTAGGCAAAGCAAAGAGTCCCACATTGGAATATTACAAGAAGTGAAGGCTCCCCCTCACCTATAAAGGAGACCACTCTCCCCTTAGAAAAGGATCCCTTGGGCTGGGCTTGACCTTTAGTCATGACCTTCTCCTTTCTTACATTTAAGTTTGGGTCCAACCCCATGTACAAATGTAAATACACAATATTATAATAATGAGAATATACTTCTCCGTGGACGTAGCCCATTCATTAAGGGTGAACCACGTATATCTTGTCTTTTGTATGTTTATCGCTTGCTCAAATCCTCACACGCTTGGTGAAGGTCCTCACCTTCACTCATCATCAATCACACATCATCACTAAGTTGGCCTTAAAAGTGCCGAACCATTTTTGAGCGTCAACAGTTTGGCGCCGTCTGTGGGAAACGACACAAAAAGCTTTTGTCATTCTCCCCTTCTTCAATGCCCTTCGGCAGTGCCCTTCGGCAGAGACCTTCGGCACCCCTACAATTAGCATCACCTAACTTGCCGAACGGCAATACCATAATGGAGCAAACATGAGGGTCAAGAGAGTAACATGCAAAAGATAAATCCTTGCAATATAATAGTCAGAAGAAGAGGAAATATAGAGACCGCCCTAGCTTTTCCTTACATGCCATACCGTTCGGCATATTCCTTGGAAAGCATTATTGGAGGGAGCCCACATTGCATACTTTACTAAGGAGGTCTGCCGACATGCATGGTGAATATCAAAATGATAACCACCAAAAGGCACTCAGCCATGCAATTACATAAAAAGCTGAGAGAGTCCTACCGTACGGCACCATGCAAACAATTGATAAAGATATCTAAGCCTAGAAGCAGCCACCTTGCTCCGCATGGCTTCCATGACTCTGGAGGCAGCCACCTTCTAAACCAAATATGGCTCTCACGTTGCATGGTTAAAGGAACAGAAACCTGTTCCAATCTAACGGAGGCCCATGTGCATCCCCACCATGAGAGAAGCTGCCGAAGGAGGTATGGCCCATGCTGAAATCTTCATCATGGCACCACAAGGTGTTGTCTCTTCGTTAGAACTTCCAGTTGCCGAACGGTAATGCTGGGCATGACTCACCTGGAAACCACCTTCCTAACCGGACGAATCATCCTACCGTTCGGTAAGACGGAATTGAGCCAACTGATATTCCCAGACCTCCAGTAGATCGGCAATTCAGTGCTCGGCAGCTTCCGATTGGTGCCCCACAGAATATGAACGTCCCTGTTCAGGGCTAGCAAATCATATTACC